TTATTAAATGATAAAGTGCAAAGCTCCTGAACAAGGAGGTGACCCAAAAGAGTTACCACTCAGGTTTTTTTTTAAGTAGGCTAGTAGTTTTAAAAAATATTTTCATTATTGAAATATAGTTGATATACAATGTTATATTCATTTCAAGTGTACAACATAGTGATTTGACATTTATGTACATTATGAGCTGTGCACCACAATAAGTGTAGTTCCCATCTGTCACCAGACAAGGCTGTTACAGTATTGTTGACTACATTCTTTATGCTGTACTTTTCTTCTTTGTGACTTCTTCATTTTATAGCTGGAAGTTTGTTCCTCTTCATCACCTTCATCTACTTTACCCATTCCCCACCATCTCTCCTCTGGCTACCAACAGTTTCTTTTCTATATAAAGAAACCTATAAATTTATTTAAAAACATGAAAAAATGATTTGTGTAATTATAGATATATAACTTTTTTGGAAATATATGAGACCAAAAGTATGTATAGTGCAGTTTTAATAAATTATAATCTGATAATTGAAGTTTGTAAAATTAAAACATAATTTTCATAATCATTCAGCTACAGTTGTCTAATAGCCCTTGTTTAAACCTTTTTCAAAGGTTTCTTCTTTGATGCACAAATTATTTAGAAGTATTTTTTTAAATTTAATTTCTAAGCGTTCAGGGGTTTTCCAGATATTTGGTTATTTATTTATTATTGATTTCTAATTTAATTCTATTTGAGAAGAGAACATAATCTATATGATTTTAATGCTTTAAATTTACTGAAACTGGTTTTATTGTCCAGCATATTTTGAATCTTTGTAACAGTTACACATAGAATGGAAAATATCTGTTCTATAGTTGCTAAGCATCGTGTTCTGTAAACACATGGGGCCAAGTTTGTTGGCAGTGTAAGTCTTCAATACCCTTACTTATTTTCTATTTACTTACACTATTGATTACTGGTAGAAATGTGTTGAACTCACCAGGTGGAATTATGGGTTTCTTTCTTTCAGTTCTTACTCCGTTTTGAAGCTTTGTAATTAGGTGCATATCTATTTAGGATTGTTATGTTTTCTTGATTGACTTACCATTGTGAAATATCCCTCTTTTTCCTTAGTACTATGCCTTACCTGAAGTATTCTTTGTCTGATATTAATTAGCCATTCAAGCTTTTTGTCATTAGGATATTATATATACGTTTCTATTCTTTTACTTGTAACCTAGCTGTGTCTTTATAATTGAGGTATTTTGTAGACACTTGAATAGTTGACCCTTGAATGACACAGGTTTGAACTGCAGAGGTCCACTTATATGTAGATTATTTTTTATATAAATACAGGACAGTACTGAAAATGAGTGTTCTCTTCCTTAAGATTTTCTTAATAACATTTTCTTTTCTCTAACTTAATTTATTCTAAGAATGCCATAGATAACATATATAACATCCAAAATCTGTGTTTATTGACTGTTTATGTTGCCAGTAAGACCTCCTCTCAAAGGTAGGTTATTAGTAGTTAAGTTTTAGGGAAGTCAAAAATTAAATGTGCATTTTCAACTATGTGGGGAAGGGTCAATGCCTTAACCCCTCATATCATTCAAGGGTAGTTTGGTCTTACTTTTCTTTTTAAAAGATTTTATTTATTTATTTGAGAGAGAAAGACAGAGAGAGAGAGAGAGAGAGAGAACAATAGAGAGCATGAACAAGGAGGAGAAGGAGAAACAGACTTCTCATGAACAGGGAGCCCAAGGTGGGCCTTGATCCTAGAATCCTGGAATCACGACCTGAGCTGAAAGCAGATGCTTAACCTACTGAGCCACACAGGCATCCCTATTTTTTTTATTTTCTTTTAAAGATTTTATTTATTTGTTTCAGAGAGAGAACATGAGCCCAGGGGATTTGGGGTAGAGGGAGATGGAGAAGCAGGCTTCCTGCTGAGCAGGGATCCCGACTTGGCACTCTATCCCAGAACCCTGGGATCATAATCTGAGCCCCAGGCAGACCCTTACCCAACTGAGCCACCCAGGCACCCCTTGGCCTTACTTCTCTATCCAGCTTTAGCAGTTCCAGACATAACATTTGTGTCCATTGACAGTTAATATAATTATCAGTATGGTTAAACTTAAGTCTACTATCTTGCTACATGTTTTCTGTTTATCCCATTTGATCTTTGTTATCTTTGTCTTCTTTTTCTTCTTTTGGATTAAATGAGTAATTAGTATGCCATTTTATCTTTTTTTGATTTATAGTTCATATCACATATGTGTTTTATTTGTTGCTCTAGAAAGTTTATAGTATACATCTTTAACATATTACTGTGTGCTGTGAACTCCTATTGTGCCACTTTATGTATAATGTAAGAACCTGACAACAGTACATTGTTTTCTCCACCCTCCCCTCATTTGCATTGTTATTGTCATAGGTTTGACTTCCACACATATTACAAGCCCTACAGTCCTTTGTTTTTATTTCAATTCTCTTGGGCATAAAGATGAAAAAAATTATATTTATCTACATATATATTATTGCCAGTGCTTTTCATGTCTTTATGTAAATCTGAGTTTCCATCTGGTATTCTTTTCCTTTTACCTGAAATAGTCCCTGTAACATTTCTGGTAGTGCTAGGTATTGGCCTTGCCTTCTTTCAGATTTTGTTCACCTGAAGGTGTCTTTACTCTCAGCTTCTTTGAAGGGTATATTTTAGTTGGATATAGAATTCTAGTTTGATTCTAACCACTCCCATCCAGCACTTTAAAGATGTTTCATTTTCTTTTGGCTTGTGTTGTTTGATAAGAAGTCAGACAGAGGTCATTCTTTTTTCTCTTGTATTAAAAGTGTTTTTTATTTCTATTTGCTTTTAAGATTTTCTTTTTATAATTGGTTTTCAGCAGTGTGTTTATTATATGCCTTAGTGAGTTTTCTGTTGTGTTTATTTTCTTGGATTCATTGAGCTGCTTGAATATATGAGTTTATATTTTTCATTCAGTATAGAAAATTTGACCATTTTTCAAGTTATTTTGCCTCCTCTTTCTGAGAATCCAGTTACATATATTTTAGATTGCCTGATTTTATCCCACAGGCTCTGTGCATTTTCTCAGTCTTTTTTCTTCACTTTGCTGGATGAAGCTCAGATCTGTCTTCCAGCCATACATAAGCTGTGATCGTTTAGTTTTGAATTTACTGGATTTGTTCTTTCCCTGGTAGGTGTTTCTTGCTTGGTTTTGTAGAGTGTCATCTTGCACAGGCACAGGTTAAGTATTCACCCAAAAGTTCAAGGGACTCTATTCAGATTTCTGGGGTTTATTTGTTTTGCCATAGCTTTTTTCTTTCTGGTATTCTGCTCCACAAGTTCCAGCCACCTTGGCTTTCTTGAACTCTTATTTCTGTCTCCTAATCTCAGGGAGATCCCTGTACTCTTCTTGGGATTCTGCTTCTTGAACCATGGTTTGAAAGTACCTTTGGGTAGAGAGTGGGATTATTCTAGGGTTCATCTCATTTTTGCTCTTATCTCAGGGATCACAGGCACGTGCTGCCTGCTGTCCAATGTTTCCAAATAGGTATTTCCTCTAATTTGTTTAATCTCATAGTTGTTCATAGCAAGAGGGCTATTCCATGGCCATAAGCAGTAGTCCCTATAAATTTCTCTTTCCATTGTATCTTCAAAAAAATATTTTCTAATTTCTGGTATAAAGGAACAAAATTAACTTTTATATAGTAATCTGGTATATAGCAATCTTGCTGAAGTATTTTATTATTTTAGTAAATTGCAGATCTTTTGGATTTTCTGTGTAGATAATCAGTATTCATGAATGAGGATTTTTATTTTTCCTTTCCAAGAGTTATTGATTTTATTTCTTTTTCTTATCTAAGTGCATTGGTTAGTACCTTTAGTACTATATATTAAATGTTTAAGTATGGTCTTTGTATGCTTTTGGTTGTTTCCCTCTATCAGGTTAAGGAAGCTGCTTTATCTACCTAGTCTGTTAAAATATTTTTTAAAAAATTATACATGTGTTTTGAATGATATCAAATGCATTTTCAGCATTTACTGAGATGATCACATTCTTTTTTTCTTTTTGTCTGATATATTGAATTATATTTTTTAAATGTGAAATTATCTTAGTATTTATAGAATTAGCCCCAATTTTTAAATACTCTCTTGGTTTGGGTTTGATAATTTTACTTTGGATTTTGCATCTGGATCATAAGTAAAATTGGCTTATAAAATTTTCCCTTTTGATGCTTCCTTTATCTGGTTTGGTATAAAGAATATACTAGGATTATAAAATGAGTTGGGTGAGTGACTTCTATGTTTTCTGGAATAATTTGCATGAAATATGATATACATATTATTTAAACATTTAGAAGTGTCAGTCTGTGAATGCTTTAGGACTCTTTTATTTAGATTAGGTTAGGCTTTGACCCTGAGGTGATGTGTGAGTCTCATTATACAATTCAAAGCAGAGGACTCTGGTGATTTTAAGGCCATTTTTTATATGCCTTATAAAAGGCATATATATATATATATAAGGATTTCTGTGATAGCAGCAATAAATGCATATTTTTTCTATTGTGGTGTGGTATTGTGTATAGATATGAAGCTTTTAACCCACGTCTGTCTTTGTTTCATTAAGTGTTCTTCAAGTTAGTGGAAGTTAAAGGAATTTTAAGGGCATGGAGTTAAACCTACAGATACTTTGGGATTAAGTTGTGTAACTTCATAGTGTTTTTGTAACTTTTTCAAATGTATTCATTTGTAATGCTACTGTGACTAACATTCATTGGGGATCAGACAACAAAACAAGTCTTCAACATCTACATAACTTATGAGAGGGTTATTGGTACTTAATGAAATTCTATCTTTAAAAGAAGTAGGCATTCCTTAAGGGAAAGGTGCTATGCAATTGAGAATTTTGATTAGTTTTATTGCTTTATTGTGATTCATCATAGACTGATTTCTTAGTAAAATATTGTCCTACTTTGATTTCAGAATTCCTTGTTACATCACTGAATAATGGATGAAGCTGAGAGAGAAAAAGAGAAGAGGTATGAATTCATAACTGACTGATATTTCTGTCAAAGCCCTCTCCCCTGTCTTTTGTTTCTGTTTCACATCTTGTAAAATCCTGCTTCCTTTGGGAAGCCTGACTCAGGGAAATTTGGTCTCTCCAGTGGGTTTTCGATAACTCCTAGTTCCAACTCAGTTATAAAACTTAGTGCATTGACTATGTACATGACAGCCTCCCTCATCAAACTGTGTCTTCCATGACTTACACAGTGGCTGCCCGGAGCTGACACTAAATAAGTGCTTTACACTCCCTGATAGGGTTAGAAGCCTGTTTTGGGGCCATGGTTTGCCTAGAGCTTAAATTCATGTATGTTTGAATAGATAAATTACCTTCTTTTTCCAATTCTAGCATCTAAAGTAAATTCCTGAATGGGAAGCAATCAGAGAGGGAGAGAAACTATGAGAAGCCCTTAACTCTGGGAAATAAACTGAGGGTTGCTGAAGGGGAGGTGGGTGGGGGGGATGGGGTAACTGGCTGATGGGCCTTAAAGAGCACATATGATATGATATGCACCAGGTGTTATACGCAACTGATGGATTATTAACTCTACATCTGAAACTAGTGATGTACTATATGTTGGTTATTAAATCTAAATTTAAAAAATGTTAGTTAAAAAATAAATTCTAGTGTACTGATGGAAAAGTTTTTGTCCACATTTTTTAGTATGATCTGTTTTTCAAAGGTAAAAAAAAGAAAAAAAAAGCTCTCAATTAGCATTTTATTGCCCAGCCTTCTCTTTCAGATGAAGCAATGGCTTTGCAAGAGCCTCTTGAGTAATTATATATAATTTAGAAAGAATTTTCTTAAATCAGAAGTACTCTTGTAAAAGCAGGTAAGAATATATGGTGGAACAAATATCCACCATTTAATTCAAGTTCATCTAGATTTAATTTATTTTATATAATTCTTCAGTTACTGTGCTAGACACTGTACTGGGTTTTGCTATGGAAGATACTGAAACAGATTTGGTCCCTACCCTCGAGGACCTCACAGTCTAAGGGAGATGAGATTGGCTTTCATTTCCTTATTCTTTTTTCATTGCCTCATTTTAATATTGACAGTTATTTTTGTCTGTGATAGATCAAGGGTCTGGGTTTTTGCTCAAAGTTTGACATTACCAACTCCCTTTCTCTGTTCTTATTTCTTCTCCATCCATTGTTTCATCATCTGAATTTCTAGACCTACCCTTACTGTTAACAACACTGATTGTTTTTTGTCACTTAGGGATGTACCTGATGTAACTGAAAATAAAAAGAAGGACCGGTTCAATGCCTTCTTCACGGAACTGCGTGCCATGCTTCAAGCTCATGGTTACCCTGTAAAAGGAGACAGATCTAAAATATCACAGGGGACTACTGCTGCTTCACCGGAGAAGGAAGGTTTGATCTGGGCACCCCAACCCATCCTTACAGGTTTTTGATTAGCCATATGGAAAATTGGTTGTGGGTGGGACAGCTGGGTCTCTCTCTTTACTTCAAACATCTTTGGGAAGGATTAATGAATAGAGGATTTCCTGAAGCACCTCCTAATGCACAAACACTTAGTTTCTCTCTATTCAAAGTTTGTTTATAGTCAATGCTGAAAATATTGTTAAGGTTCATGCAAAAGTGGAAGAAGGAAATGAGAATTAATAGAACAATAGTGGTTAGGGAGCCCGGGTGGCTCAGTTGGTTAAGCAACTGCCTTTGACTCAGGTTGTGATCCTGGAATCCTGGGATCAAGTCCTGTACTGGGCTTCCTGCTTAGCAGGAAGTCTGCTTCTCCCTCCGACCCTCCCCGCTCTCTTGCTCTCTCTCTCTCTTATTCTCTTTCAAATAAATAAATGAAATCTTTTAAAAAAGGAGAATACTAGGTAATAATAATGCAGATTTCTTTATCCTAGGCGCTTGAGGCATATGGTAAATGTTGCAAAGAGAAACATGGCCCTGAGGGTGTAAAATAGTACCTATAATACTTAAGTAGGCTTAATTCAAAACATCTGAACAGGTTATACCCATATGCATATAATCATGCTGTAAAAATCTGTTACTTAAAAAAATATTTTCTTGACCCCATGATACTTCTATTACTCTGTGGCCTCTTCACAGCACAACTTCTTGAAAGGCCTGTAAAGATCCTGTCCCCACATCCTCATCCCTCATTCTTTCCTCATTCCACTTCACTGAGGTCACACTGCTCGTTGCTCCAGTATGTCAAGTATTCGGCATTTTTCTAAGTGGAACATGAGATAGTTTAAAGCAGGAGAGTGGTATGTGTTCTGTAAGGAATAACAGTGACCTCCACATCGCTGAATTATTTGGTCCTTAACTCTCCACATCTTTCTTGGCCTTTTAAAAACATTGGACGGGTGACCACTCCTTTTTCCTTGAAGTATTTTTCTCTTGGATTCCAGAATAACACACTCACCTGGTTTCTCTCTTAGCTCATTGGCTGCTCCTTTGCTTTTTTCCCTTAATTTCTACCTTTCCACTTTCCATTTCAATCTCTGGACACTGATGTGCCCCAAAGCTCAGTCGTTGGACCTTTTTTCTTCTCTAGATACACTCATTTCCTGGGTGATCTCATCCAGTCTCTTAACTTGATGTGCTACCTGGATGTCAGTGACCCCTGCTTGTTAAGTCCATCTTTGGCCCTGACCTACATGAGCTCCATACTTGAGAATTGTACTCATTATTAAATCAGCAAGAGTTTCCTATGTGACTTCTCCTCTTGGATATCTAATAGAAAAATTAACATGGCAATAAAGGAACTCTTGGTCCCTCTCCACTCCATTCCTGTCACCCCCACCCCCCACCTAGTTTTTCTTATTCCAGTAACTGATACCACCAGTCATTCTTCCAGTTGCCCAGGCTAAAAATATATAAATTATCCTTGTGTTCTCCATTTCTTTCACCTCCTCATCCAGTTCATAGCAAGCCCTTTTGGTTTTGCCTCTAAAATATATCTCAAATCCATATGCTTCTCCCCATTTCTATAACTTTGGTATACCAACTGAAACCAGGCCACCAGCATCTGTTACTTTTGTAGATGCCTCCTAGGTATATTCTTCTTTCATTCTTTCTCCCCAATTTGATCTATTTTGCACAAGCAGCCATAGCGGTCTTTTATTTTTTATTTTATTCTTTATTTATTTTTTGAAAGATTTTGTTTATTTATTTGAGAGAGAGACAGAGAATAAGAGAGAGAGTATGAGAGAGGGGAGGGTCAGAGGGAGAAGCAGACTCCCTGCTGAGTAGGGAGTCCAGTATGGGACTCCATCCTAGGACTCCAGGATCATGACCTAAGTTGAAGGCAGTTGCTTAACCAACTGAGCCACCCAGTTGGTTGGCTGTTTTATTTTTTTTTAAAGATTTTATTTATTTATTTGACAGAGTGAGAGGGAGGGATAGCACAAGCAGGGGGAGTGGCAGGCAGAGGTAGAGGGAGAAACAGGCTCTCTGCTGAGCAGGGAGCCCGATGAGGGACTGGATCCCAGGACCCTGGGATCATGATCTGAGCCCAAGGCAGATGCTTAACTGATGGAGCCACCCATAGTGTGCCCCCATAGTGATCTTTTAAAAAACATGTCATTCGAAAGGCACCTGGGTGGCTCAGTTGGTTAAGTGTCTGACTCTTGATTTTGGTTCAGATCATGATCTCAGGGTTGTGAGATCCAGCTCTGCACTGGGTATGGAGCCTGCTTAAGGTTCTCTCTCTCTCTTTCCCTACACACCTCCCCCCAAAACACATATCACTCTTCTGCTTAAAAGTATCTCATATTCCACTTAGAATAATGCTAACTCATTAACATATAACCTACATGATCTGGCCCTGCCTGTCTTTCAGATTTCATTTCCTACTACTCTATCCCTTGGTCACCCTATTATAGCCACTCTGGCCTCTTGTTTGTAATTTAAACAGGCCAAATTATTTTCTGCTTTGCTTTGTACTTACTGCTTCCTCTGCTCAAGATGCTTTGCTCCCAGGTTTTCCTGTGACTGTCTTCCTGTCATTTTTGTCCATGTGTTCATTACCTACCTACACCCTCCATTCTGTAAGATACAAAAGGATAGTCATGTTTCTTGTCTTGTTCATACTATAAACTGAGTCTCTAGAACAGAATAGCATATACATAGTTGGAGCTCAGTAAATATTAGTTAAATAATGGGGCACCTGTGTTGTGCAGCTGGTTAAGCATCCATCTTCTGGTTTTGGCTCAGATTGTAGATCTCAGGGTCATGAGATCAAGCCCTGTGTCAGGCTCCATGCTCAGTGCAGTGTTTACTTGAGTTTCTTTCTCCCTCTCCCTCTGTTCCTCCATTTGTGCTCTCTCTCTCTCTCTCTCTCTCAAATAAATTTTAAAAAAAGTTAAATAAATGAATTAATGACATTTAGTTTAATAGGAATTACCAAGTCCCTATTATGAGTTAAGTATTATGCTAGATACTGGGGTTTTAGTGAAGAATTGGATATGGTCCCCATCCTATAAGCCAAACAAGAATAAATTTGTGGATAATAGTAATATAAAAAGCTCTTTATGGTTGATTGATAAAATACATTGGTCTTATTTTCTTGGAAATGTGTAGACTCTCTTTAGTCTTATCTATTTCTTTGGAGGGAGTGTAGGGGATGAAAATCACTAGGTAGAGTTGAAAGTCAGTGGGGAAATACTTCAGCAAATCAGCTGTGGGGGAGTGTCATGGGTTATTTCCTGAGCTCAAGGAGCTGTAGCCAGAATTGAGTTTCCAGGCTGGAACAGTGGTCAGAAACACTGACCTTGAAGCATTTGTGCAGTTGGTGTGGTTTATTTTTATATTCTATCATTTCCCAGGCAGTTACACACCCGCTTTTCATTCCCTCTTTAGTGAGGGTTCTGAAACTTTTCTGCTCATGCTTGGCCTCCTTCTTATCCAAATCTACTGATAGGAAAGGATCTGAGACTTATACCCACTGAAAAAACAAGCTCTACTCTTGGAATTATCCTTGTCAGGGGACAGAACATTTTTTAAAGGGATCAAAGTTGTATGCCATGGGTCTCTGTTTTGTGAGGAGCAGAAACTAAGTTATTGACATGCATTAAAATAACTGGAGATTGGAGGGCTATGTCAGGGAAATCCCTGTGTTAGTGCAGTTAGTGGAGTAGGTGGGATTAGAGGAGGTAATGGGGGAGATGTTGATAGCAAAGGTTCTGAGTGAGTACAGTAGCAGAAACAGTGCTCATTGGGAAAACCAGAAGAACTTGAAGAATGAAGAAAGATGGACGAGAGATAGAACTTTGTTAACAACTTTGAAGAGATATGAGATAGGGCTTAAAGATATTCTAGTTAGGTATCTTGATCTGCTTAGAGCCCTTAACACAGTGTGTACTTTCTCTGACATATTATGATTACTGGTTTTGGTGGAATGCAGAAGACGTAAAGAAGTCAAGAAAAGAAAAGAACTACAGGTTGAAAATCAGTTTTTGGAGAGGTGTGTACAGTGGAAATTGAGTTGGATGATCTTCAAGGTCTTTTTCAATTTGAAACACTTCTCTGTTTATGATCATTTATAAGCAATTAGTTAGTCCACATCAGCTCCTTCATTAGCACTCAGCATTTTCTCATGAGAGTCTTTTCTATAAAATTAATTATAACTTTGAAAAATCTAATACCCATAGCTAATCATTTTAATGTGACAGTTTTCTATCCTTTCTTTGTTTTTCTAAAAAGGCAAAGTCAATCCAGAAACCTCCAGAGAGCAATCTAATTGGATTCCATCATTTCATAGCTATGAAGACTTCAAGTGTAAGACACTACAAGTAAGAGGGGATTTGTTCTTGGATTACCTCATATGCTAGAATGCGTTCAATAGAAGATAAAGAACAGTGTTTTTCACAGTGTGCTAAGAGACCATGCATATCAGGATTACCCAGAGAGCTTGGTAAAATTCCAGATTCCTGGGACCCACCTTAAATTGTCTGAGTCAGAATCTCAATTCTGGTAGGGCTAGGAGCCTGCATTTCTAGCAGGCTCTCCAGATGCTGCTTATGCCAACTGATTTTTGAAAAACTCATCTTGAGTGACAACAAATACGAATAAGTCTTTGTTAGGGGCAAATTAAGTAATATCTGGTAGATCCCTCAACATAGATTGTGAGCCTCTAAAAAACACCTTCAAGTGTTACCTTTTCCCCTCCAGGACCTGATGTGTTTATGGTTTCTATCTCCAAGGAAACTGGTTAGCTTCACTGAGTTCAAAAGCCACAAACTAAAGCCTGAATGACCATGGTCTTTTGAGACAGACAGATATGGTTATGAATCATGTCTTTGTCATTTACTTGCTCTGTATCCTTGAGAGAGTTATTGCCTCTGAGCCTTGATCTCTTTCTCTGTAAAATGGGTATTAAAAATTTTCTTTTGCTGGGTTGTGAGAATAAAGTGGATAGGTGTAAAATGTCTAGGGACTTCCTCATTCCCTTCTCCATGTCATTCAGTTTTCCATATTTTCCATCCCTGTCTCTCTCTCTGTTGTGGTCTGAGTCATTTCTTCAGCTGTTTTCTTTCCAGCTATGTTCTAGCACAATGAATTTTTATTTTTGATGATAATATTGTTTCTAGACATTTTGTTTATTTTTCACATCTGCCTGTCAGTTTTGAGTCTTTTGTTCCTTCATCATATTTTCAAATTTGTTATTTATTTAAGGCATTTAAGCAAATTTATTTTATATTCTATTTTCAATAATTCCATTATCTACTGTTCTTGAATCTGATTCTGCATTTTATTATTTGTACTGCCCCTTGTTCATGATGTTTCATTTCTTCCTCTGTTATTAATATCTTATTATAAACTCATGTTATTTGGAACTTTATCCACAAGAATTATTTGAGCCCTGGTTTTAGAATGATTCTCTAGAGATGATTTCAGTTTCGTTTTACTAGATGTCTGGGTTCAGGAACACCTTAAACTGAATAATGGGCTTGGGCTGTGCAAGTCTACACAGGTAGTTCGTGAATTCCAGCTCCAAATCTCTGTGAGTGTGGGTTTCTGTTTAACAATTCTCAGAAGAGACTAGTTTTAGTTTTCCCTCTCTAGCCAGAGCCAAAACTGAGGCATACATGTGCATTCACTATCTTTCTTGGATGGATAAGATCTCAGCCTGCTGAGAGTGTTGTTACCCTTTGGGAAGCTTGGTTTTATGCAGAAGTCTCTGATTTCACTTCCCACCTTGTGTAGCCTGGGTTTGCTTTCTCTCCCCCAAACTCTATGCCATCAGCGTTGTGCAGATATTTCCAAGGCAAATACAGGCTCTAGTATCCCCCTGCCTTTAAAATCCCATGTTGTAGTCATTTCTGTTACCAGATTGTTTGTTTTACTTTACAATAAACTTGGTCTCTTTTTGAAATATAAGTTTTTATATACTTTATTCATCATTTATGTGTTCTCTACCAGGAGGTATTTGTTTGGATATCAAATCCATTATATAGCAGGAAAATAATGGCAATATCCATATTTATAAGTAGATGACTAAACTATTCACAAATAAAAATGCCCTGCAAAATATTCTTAGCATTTTTTAAATTAATTTTGAATTAAATGTGAAACAACCTACATACGGAAATGAATCTTCATAGCTTATGTTGGAGAGTTTTGTGTTAATTGGGTATACATTAAAATTTGTTTGTCTAAGTGACACATCATTTGATAAACATCTCATGCTTAAGGTTAAGTAGATTCTGTGTAGGAGGCAGAATAATGGAATTTTAATTAAGTCTGTGCCTGCTTTATTGATATTTAAGGACCACAATACATTTTCAGTGTGCTATTGTAATTATTTATGCATTTTGAAATAAAACTATCATTTTATTATTGTTCCACTATTTAATTACATTATTATTCTCTCTTCATTAGTCATTAGATGGCTTTATGATAATACTGAGCACAGATGGAGTGATAATTTTTGTCGCTGAAAACATCACTTGTCTCCTTGGCCATTTACCAGTAAGTTTTTCCAGTTTGGGGGAAAGGATCATTCTGGTTTATTATTTAGAGGTTCATCATTTGTTTTCAGAAGCATACAAGTCATCAAAGATGTTCTCTCAGTGTTGTCAAAACGTGCACCTGTTTTATTGTCATCTTCATTTGTTTCAGTTTTAAATCCATAATAAAAAAATTCTAATATGTGATAATTCAATACTGTGTGTGTGTGTGTGTGTGTGTGTGTGTGTGTGTGTGTGTGTGTGGTTTCTAAACTGCCCTGAAGGTAATCTCCAAAGAAGAATGTGCTTTTTGAAATGGCAGTCTCCTCAGAATCAGTGGATAGCTGCCAAGGTGACTGCTTTGCAAGGCAGCCCTCACTGTGATGGATGTGTTTGATTCTGTACAATTCTTTAAAGTCCACTATATACTGATTAAACAATGAATGTCATGATTTGTTCATGCTGGCTCATGGCATCCATTCCCAGATATGACTTGCTTTTTTTCTTTATATTGGAGAACAAATTATAATCTTATTTAAAAAAAATATAGAAGTGATGACATAGTTTAGCTGGAGACATCTACCCATGAGTTGTAGTTATGGTCTATGGTGTCCAAAAAGGTCACTCGGTCACTATACCCCTCTTCAGGAAAGCTTTCTCTCTCTTCATAGGACCATTGACTTAGAATATGTGATTTCCAAAAAAAATTTCTGGACCTTCAGGGTGCACATCTAACAAATATGCCACTTAAATATGAAACTACTACATTCCTTCCTATTCCATTAATGTATATGTGTGAAGAGAAGATATCTAGAATACATCCTCCTCCACTCCTGAAATCTCTGTCATCTGGCTAGTTTTGTCAGTCATATTTGGATTGTTGCTTTCATTGTATATTCCTCATTCCACAGAGGTGTCTAAAGAACTTGACAAACCTTGACCCAGAGATCTATATAGTACTTTAGTTTGAAACATGTAAATTAATAGTTTTGTTGCATTATTCTTTAGTTAAGTTAGAAGTGGAGGATTAGAAGTTTATTCAACCAGTTATGCTATTCCAGCCAGCATGTTCCTTGACGTGGCTAGAATCATAGAAGTTTGTTTTGTTTCTACTCTTTTCTCTTTATTTACAGATAGTATGATACATAACTTTAGTTCTCATTCTTTTTCCTTTTTTTTAGAAAACATTTTACATTTTCAAATTCAGCTTATATTTGTAGGATGCCAAAAGAGCTGAATAAAATACAAATGCTAGAGATTTTCATTGAATTGGACTTATAGAAGAAGGATGGTCTTATTAAATCTATATTAAAAGAAAGAATGTATGAGTATGATATATGACAGGTTAAGTTTCATTATAGTGAAGACCAGAAAGCTTCCCAAATTCTCGTATTAGATATTACTTAAACCAAATTGGTCATTGAGTGAGACTGGTAAATTTTTCCTATTAAATGAGTGTTTTGCACAGTGATGGTCTTAGTTGTATTATCCTTGTTTCTTCATGTAGTTTGGTTCAAAGTTTCCACTCAAGAGAATCTTTTACCTTTCAGCATTTTAGGTAATACACACACAGGGCCTCACCCTAAGGTAGAGGGGTCTGGGATATGGGGTGGAATGACTAATCTTAAACCATGGAGTTGATTACCTGAAATGGGTATACTTAAAAATAAAGCTATGACTATTAAGTCTGTACATAAACATTAGATGAGAATGAAGTTATATAGCCTTGCTGAAAAACACTAGCTGAGGCATAATTTCACACCTTCCCTCATTAAATCCTAAGTCTTCTTAATTTGTAACAACACACAATCTTTTTCCAGGCTTTGATTAAAAATTTCATTTTTTAAGTCACTCATCTTATATTAATGTAGAGACAAAACCATTTCTAGAGTATTTTCCTGGCTCTAGGAATCGACAGTTTCATTAAATATCAAGATACCTCTGTCTCTTGGGCAACTCTAAACTGATAGCATGGTGGATGGAAAGAACTTTGTCTTTGAAGTCAGATAATCTGGAGATTAAAATTTGGCTCAGTCACTCACTAGCTACATGGACTTTAGTTTCTCATCTGTAAATGTGGAAAGAAATACTACCTAGAGAGTGACTGGAGGTGGGCTGTTACAAATATGGGGTTAGTAAAGACCTGCCTTATCAGGTGACGTTTAAACAGAAGCCTGAATGCAGTATGTGAGTCATGCAGATAACCGGAGCAAGTGTGTTCCAGGCAGAAGCAAAAGCAAGTCAGGAAGCACTAAAGCACAAATGTGCTTGATGTGGAAAATTACAGTAGAGGGGCCATTGTGACTGCAGCACTGTGAGCAAAAGGAAAAATACTAGGAGGTGATGAGAACAGAGCAATAACAAAGATCCCTTATTTAGGGTCATTGTAATGACTGTGCCTTTTCTTCTGAGATGGGAGAAAGCCATTGTGGGGGTTGGAGCAGATGAGGGAAATTATCTGAAATTTTTGGGGCATCACTCTGGCTCTTATGTTAAGAATACGTAATGGGTTGTTTGTATTGTTTATTAAATCCCACATATGAGCAAAGGGGAAAAAAAAAGAGAGAGAGAGACAAAGCAAGAAACAGACACTTAACTAAAGAGAACAAACTGATGGTTACCAGAGGGGAGGTGGGGATGGGTGTATGAAAAGGGTGATGGGAATTAAAGAGTGCTCTTGTTGTGAGGAGCACAGGTGTTGTATGGAAGTGGTGAATCACTATATCATACACCTGAAACTAGTATGACCCTGTATGTTAACTCTACTGGAACTTAAAAAAAAAAGAGAGAGTAGGCTATGGGAGCAGGCATGAAAGGTAGAGAGTCCATTTGGAAAGCTATTACAACAGTCCAGGCAATTACATGGTTGGATGTTGAAGGCATCAGTGTTTTGTAGGTAAAATAAGTTTTGCTGATGGATTCGATGGGGGTGCGACAAAAAGATGTGAGGAGTCCAAGGTATGGCTTTGTAACACACACAATTATGACCAAAATGATGGCTTATTATCATCATCATGGTATTAAATTTATATCTGAAATCTGCCATCGTATTTTTCCAATCATTAATTTTCCTTGACAGTGTTTTCCTTTGGAAAAACATGCAGTCACTTGTAGTACTAGTACTTCCAAGCAGCCTGCCTTCCTACTCACCTTACTTCATCACTCCCCCCCCCCAAAAAAAATTAAAACTGTGAATTTACATGTAGTTGTTCTTTTACAATTTTTAAACAAATGAAACTTTTCAAACACACATTTCCTCATGGAAAAAGTTTCTCAGCATTGAGTTTTTAAGAAACTTTATCAGGTTTTGAATATAGGTATATGGTTAGTTCATGATAATTGTGATGAGTTTTGCTCTGTTCTCCCTGCAGAGCTTACAGTATAGTAGAGAATTATCAGTGATGAGTCTTGTTTGATTCAAAATGCAATCTGAATTTCGTGCAGAGGCTCTTCTCCTTCCCTGTGCCCTATACAGTTGAACAGTTTTCTAATGCATGTTTAATGTGAATGTCTCTGCCAACAAAAAGATATTTCTTGCCTGGATTTTCAGTAAATGTCATGAAGTGGAATAAATTCTTTTACTTTTTTTTGACATAATTGAGGCTCACCATACAAATATTCATGGGACAACTAATGGGTATTTGCACACTTGGCTTTTGAGAAACCTCCTTAACTTTTCACTGGTATTTATCCTTGCTTCATTAAGCTTTGAGTACCTTGATCTTTCTACCTTGTGTAGTAAGAAGAGCAAATGCCAAAGATTTACAAAAATAACATGGTGTTGATAATGTTTTCAGATTTCTGCCCTTTAACTATGGAGCAGGACCACTAGAATGATTGTTACATTCACTTTTTTAGTTGGTGGTCGATTATAGGGCATTAATTGTCACTATCACATTCCTCAAAGAATGTGGTTAATTAATAAGAAACTAATTGCCAGTATTTCCGTCCAAGGGAATGTACACTATCAAAAGACTGCTCACTTTGAATTCTTTTATGTGACAGTGCTGTCCTTTATTCTACTAACGAAAGAACTGGTGAGCCATGGCACTTTGTACCTCTTGTTATGGTTTTATTGTATAGTTAGCATCATCGTTTTCTGTCTGTCTCATCTGCCTTACTGAACTGTGTATTCATTAAAATTAGAATTCATGTCAGGATCATCATTTTAACCCATGTAAGTACTCAGTAAAAAAAGAAATTGATAAATTACTTCCTGTAGAATGTTCACAGGGTAGAAACTGGCCCAGTAGCAAGTCAGCTGCTCCTGATATCAATTGGACTTGAGGAAGCTATGGTGTAGTGGAGGAACAATGGATATAGAATTAGTTGGGTGGACTTGGGTATGAGTATTATCTCTGAACTTCTGATGTCTCATTAATTGGACAAGCCTTAATTTCCTCTTAAACAAAATAGGGGATAATTCTTCCTCTCACAGGGCATTATGTGAGCTAGTTCGTGTGAATATACCTAGCACAGTGTCAGGCATAGAGCAGTTGTTAATCATGTGTTAGACAAACGAATGAATGAGTGGTCTCCACTGACCAGAGGTAACTTAATTTGGTTCCTAAAGTTTATTTTATAACTAAACCAATGAAGGAATTTTTACTGAAAAAGTTAGGTTTAATGAAAAATATCTCTATTCTGGGAAGTAAATTTCTTATTGGGTGACTTTCATTGTCAAAATTTATTGCCTGTTAATTTCATAATGTTTTATTTGCTAAATTAAGGTAATATTTCTGCCCTGAATTGAGCCATGCTTTTTCTTGATTGAGACAGGATCCATCTGCTAATTTGAGCATTGGCTAACTCATAGGCTGGCTTCTACAAATGGGCCATAAAAACATTTTTCTGAATTTTGACTGTATATTATTAATATTAATCAGTTAAAAATTGTTTGAATTTGTGGTTCGTCACCCAAAACCATTATTCAGCTACAAAGAATACTTTGTTTTTTATTTTGTTCCTATCACATTAAAAACTCATTACTTAATGCCTAATATTAAATTTATCCACATGTCACCATGTTTCAGCTACATGGTACAGCATTATTCATTCATTTAACCAACATTTATTGAGTGTTCATGTGTGTCAAGCTATGCTCTAGGTGTTGAGGATGTAACAGTGAGTAAGACAGCCAAGGTCTCTGTTCTAATGCAATTTACATTTTACTGAGGGAGACATAATAAACACAAAAACATACACTATAATGTCAGGTAGTGATGATTATGCTATGAAAAAAAAAACAGGAAGAAAATGTCAGGAAATTGGTGCCATTTAAAATACTTTTGAGTAGAGAGTTGAAATAAGGGAAAACGTCATTATAAATATTTGGGAAAAAATGTTTCACATTGACCTAAGAGCAAGTTTAAGGGCTCCTATTTGGAGTATTTGGAAATGAACAAGTACTTTGGCTTTTACTTTGAATAACTTGGGTAGCTGGTGGAAAATGTTAAGTAGAAGAATAACTTGACCTGACTTATGTTTTAAATGAAACACTGTAGCTGCTCTGTGAAGAACAGAGTGGGAGCTGGGGTGTGGCAAAAATAGATGTAGGGAGACCAGTTGAGTCTGTGGTAATCCAATCTAGAGATAATGGCTTAGCCCATGTGATGAAAAGTGGATGGATTCTGCCTGTATTTTGACTGTATTACCAACAGAGTTTGCTGATGGACTGGGTTTGGGGTTTAAGAGGAAATAGGCAAGTCAAAGACAAACATGTGGGTAAATGGTGGTGCCTTTTACTGAAATGCAGAAGACTAAGGGATGATCATGTTTTGTGAGGGAAAAGATCCAGGTATGGTGTTTTGGATATCTTAAAATTGAAATCCTATTAGACATCTAAGATACCTAGAGTTTAGAGAGAAGTCTGGGCCAGAGGTGGGAAGATAGGTGGTATTTAATGAGCTAGAACTGGAAGAGCCCACCCAGGGAGGCAGTACAATGAAAGAGGTCCAGTGACATGGCTCTAGGCACTCCAATGCCAAGTAGTCAGAGAAATCTCCAGCAAAGAAAACTGTGAAGGTGTAACCTTTGAAGCAGAAGGATATCCGTATTTATATGGTATCCTGGAAACCAAGTAAATGAAGCGTTTCAAGAAGAAGGAGGGATTTGTTGTATCAAATGCTGTGATGTCAGGCAAGATGAGTTGAGAATTGACCATTGGATTCGGCAGTGTGAAGCTCACTGGTGACCTTGACAAAGTTGGAGTGGTTAGGTAAAAATAGTGATTAATGTGGTTTCAAGGGAGAGTGAGAGCTGAAGAAATGAGAGGCAGCAAGTATAGTTTCTTTCAAAGATTTTTGTTCTGAAGTAGACCAGAGAAGTGCTGGGGGAGAGAGTGTAAGGTCAAAGAAGGTTTTGGATTTTAGAAATTTTGTGTTGTTTTTGTTTTTAAGATGACTGATATTATAGCATCTCTGATAAAGCTTTTTTGCATGCTATGGGAAAGACCTGGTAGAGAGGGAAAGCTTGACACTGTGGGGAACAAGGGGAAATTTCTGGAATGATGTCCTTGACTAGTTGAGAAAGGATGAGGGGCAGTGCACTAGTCTTCATTGGAAGCTTAGTCATTGGAATAGGAGAAAAAGTAAGTTTCTAGCCACAGAAACAGAAAGGTTGGTAGATCTGATAGCAGGAAGATACTGATGTTTCTTTTACCCTTTGCTTTTAATTACAATAAGAAATGAGATCCCCAGCTGAATATGAGGAGGATGGGGGAGGGTTGGAGGTTTGAAGAAGGAGGAAAAGGCAAGTCATAGTCACAATGAAGAGTAGACAATTTCCAGGCAGATCTGAGTGCCCACTTAAAATAACATACAGTATGGTTATGGATTTTTCTCCATAGATAATGCAGTTGCTTGGGTGAAGTTATAAGGTAGATGAAAAGTTGAAATGAACCAGAGTTGGGGTTTTCCCAGGCAGATATATCAGAAAGAAAGAGAACTTGGAAGTCATTATAATGATCCACCAAGGAATCTGAGCTGAGTAAGGAGGGATGTGACAATTTGCAAGAGATAATGTCCAGTGAAAATGTGATGGGAATGGACTGGACTGGAGGTCTCAGTGTGTGGAATAATTGTTGAAGATGTGGGGTACTTACATGAATACACTGGAGAGGTAGGAGGTAATGGTCATGGAATGGGATAATGTGAACTGAGATATGTAGAGTTATAATAGGTATGACCGCAAGATGGCTGAGAGGGAGTGGATGATAAGCTTACTGGAGGTAAGGAGGTAGAGGAAGTGACCAGTAGTAGCACATATAACAAAATGGATTTTCTCTCTTTCTCAAGAATGAGGTCATAGGTAAAAAGTTATTAAGTCTTCTGCCTGATCATGAGAAAAACGAAGTCTACCGAAAGATTGCTCTCAAACTTCCTTTGTCAAACTCAGGTACAGATTGTTTTTTCTCAGTTGTAAGTTCTTAGATTTTAAGAGACAAGTAACAGTCACTCAGAGGAGTAATAAAAATGAAAACATTAGGGCCAATATAGCTGCTGGTTATATATTAACTTAATGTAATTTCACAAATTATATTTTCAGAATTAAAAAATTTCTCCTCCATTAAATCTTGCTCTTTATCATGAACCCTGATTATTTCAGCTTTTGTATAATTGCATTAGTGTTATATAAATAATGTTCTAGCTGGTATTCCAGTCTACGGATACAGCACAGATAGTTATGCAAGTGCTAATGTTCCTGGAAAGAAAATAATATTTTTGTAAAATGTGTTCTAAGTAAGACAATAGTCCTATGAAATAATCCTGCCAAATATGCTAATGTACAATTGTAAACTTGTTTTGTATTTGTTTTTTTTTCTTAGTGGGAAAACATATTGATTTTTGCTGTCATTTAAAGAGAGGAAATGTTGAACATGATAGTGGACCTACTTATGAATATGCGAAACTCATCCTAACAGTACAAGATATTTTAAATGGTAAGCACTTAAGTTTTTAATCTGATCTGAATGAAGTTAATGGGTTACCTAGCCCATCATTGCTAACATAAACACCCTTCCACTGTTGATTCTTTCACATTCTCTGATATTCCTATGAGCAATCAGACTTTTAAAAAAAGAAGCCCATGATTTAAAAAAAAAGGCAGAGTAGACAATAACGGTGCAGACATTAATGTATTACTAAGAAAAGGACCAAAGGAAAGCTCTGATAAAAAGAAAGAGTAAGGTGATTATTCCAAAGGATCTCATTGTTTTAAAAATGGACCTGATAATACGAAGCACCTTGCTTGTAACTGTCTCTGATCTTTATCTCTGAGACCAGAATTTGGGATAGATAGCTTAGATACTTACCTGACACTAATCAGAAAATACAAGATATTATATTTAAAATATGTTTAGTTATATTTAATGATTTCATTCCTCAGTTCCTTGTTCATTAAAGTAACTTTCATTTTTGCTATTGCAGTTATGAATAGATAGAAAATTTGTGCCAGAAGACACTGCTACTAAATCAGTACCCAAAAATCCTTTGGCCTTTAGTGTTAATTGTTCAGGCTCTTTGAATCTGAGCAGAGTGCAATGTTACTGTGAAACAGTGCAGTGAGACTGTGCAGTGAAAGGAAAGGGGGTTTTTGGAGATGATGAGGACTTGAAACATAAAGATATCATACTGTCCAGTACAATGGAGCAGCTTACTTATGAGAGTTGTAATTACCGTTTTATTGCTCTGAGGAAAGTAGAAAAGAGAGGGAAATAAGGGAAAATCTTTTGAAAATGGAATACTTTTTTACAGAAATATCTAATGTATGTTATAAAATTCTAATCCTTGTTGAATTCCTTATATTCTTAAAAAGTATATTACATATTCAGTTCAATTCATAGTGAAATTTACAAGGTAGGGCCACATGGTAACATGGTGGACTGAGCTAAGAAGAATGACTCTTTCCTTCTATAAAAACAAGGAAACCGTTTTTAAAACATAACCAAAGAAGTTTGATGCATAGCCAAGCTTAAAGAAAGGGAAGTTCATGGGTGCCAGAAATTACAGGATAAAGTACAAGACTCTCATGGTAACAGGAGGCCTAGGTGGTGGCCTAGGTGGGCTGTAAATCATATGTGGGCTCCATTGGCTGGGGTCTACAGTTCTAATAGTCATTCAAGGACCAATACATAAAACCTAGAGACTTCGAATGATCAGAAAATTGTGTCCACTGGCCTAAAGGAATAAAAAGTTTGCCATCTTCCTCAGAATTTGAATGGAAAAAAATGTGTCATTTATAAGAAATCAAAACCCAAATCTGTGTTGCATGGATATGGGATGTAAATTTACAAATTTTAAGGTTTCAGGAACTGCAGGTGAAGAAATGAATATAAATACCAATTTGGGGCCACTAAAACATCTAGGGCTTGAACCAGAGGTAAATGGCCCAACAAATATGTAAAAAGATGCTTAAATTCACTAGTAAGTAAAGAATGAAAAATTTAAAAAACCAGTGAGATAACACTGTACACCCATCAGAATGACAGCAATCAGGAAGTGTGAATAATAAGCAAATATTGCTGAGGAGGTAAGAATTAAAACACTAATAGAGCATTGAGAAAAATGTAAACTCATGGTACATTCCTGAAACACAGGGTGAACTTAAATTGTTAATTATCCAATGATTCAGCAATCCCCATCACTGGACGGAAATATACCAGAGGCGAACTTGCAGAGAGATCTGTGTCGAAGGGGACATGTACAATGGATGTCATATAGTAGTTTGTGGTAAGGAGGGAGTTGGAGATAGCCTAGGTATGCATCATTAGGGAAATAGACAAGTGGGAGATATAAAATATGGAAAATTTTGAAAGCAATGAGCTGTAGATATACATACTACAACATGGTTGAATCTTAAAACCATATTGTTTTGAAACCATATTGAAAACCATACTGAAAAATGTAAGAAACTGAATGAGCTAAATTTCTTTTGGAGACTACAACATCCATCCACAGAATAAGAACACAAGGCTGAATATCACCTTGAAGTCAACAACAGTTATTTCTCAGTAGTGACTTCATGTTTTGGTGGAGACCTGGGTGAAGAGGGTAGCTAGTACAGAAGGACGGTGGGAAAAATCTGAGGCTCAGAATTCTGAAAATTGTCAGTGGCCTGGCACATAGCCCACTGATGTGGCAGACGTTCATCTTGTGTAGCCAGTCTGCCTTTCCATTTGATTGTCACGTGTGTCTCTGTCTCCCTTAGAACCTTTGATGCTCTTCAGCAGCTTCTTCCCCAGCCATGCCTATGCTGAGTCATCTCCTACATATCTTCCTCTGGAGGATCGGTTTTATCTGGTGGGGTCCATCTTTCTCTTCAGGGCTCAGATCCTACGGGTGAGTATGTTGTGTGTGTGCCTTCCCTACTGTGGCCTTGTGGGCTTCCTTTGAAAGGCCATATCCCCTTTGGTCCCTCAGCTCCTGGACAGTGTTGCTGAGGAAAGCCATGTGTGCAGGGGTTGTGCTAAGTAAGATATGTGATTGAGGAAATATCAGCTTCTGAGTTTCAGAAGGTGAGCATGTCAGTGGAGATCTCAACACACCCAAAAGAGATGCATAATCAGTCATTTACAAGTGGTTTTGCTGTGATATGAAAGAGTTATACGGGGACTGGGGGTGGGACATATGAAGAGAAACCATTTTAGGAGGTGGACAAAGGAAGGTTTCTGTCACAAGGTGAGTTTTGAGGCAGCTATCCCCAATGCCCACCGCCATTACTCACTTAGTGTTGTGTTAATATAGCACTCCCAGATTCTGTCTCTAAAAACAAAAATCAGTATTTGGAATTCATTGGATAGATTCAAGTTCATTGAATTTATTCACTAAGTAACATATTAAGTAAGAACCTACGATGTGTCTTATGCTATGCTAGGTCGGGGAGTAATATTAGGGGAAATAGACAATAGGCAAGTAATACTGAAAAGTGCCACGGGGATGATAAAACAGTCATATGCTAAGGACTGGGAATAGGGAGTTTGGACACAGTGGACATTGAAGGTCTTTCTCTGACGGCCTGTCTTTTGAACTGACTGAGACCCACAATGATGATGTTGACCCAGCAAAGAAAGGAAGGCAATCCAAGTATAGGATTCAGCAGTTGTAAAAGTACTGAGGTAGTAACTAGCTTGGAGGGTTCCAAGGAAAAAATACCATTATGTGACTAGAAGAAGGTGAAAGAGGGAAGGAGAAGTAGAAAATAAGGTATAAGAGGTAGACAGAGGCCAGTTTATGGAGAACTTTGAGAATCATGATCATGAGTTTAAGTTTTACTCAAGTGCAGTGGAAAGCAGGATGATGTGATCTGATTTCATTGTTTTTGTTTTTAAAAGATTAGGCTAGCTGCTGGGTGGGAAATGGAATCTGGGGTAATAAGAGCCTAGGCAAGAGGGGTGCTATAAGGGGAGATGGGGCTTGGGCTAGGATTGGAGTGATGAGGGTTAGGGTTAGAAGTTATACAGATTAGAAGTATACAGATTTGGGTTATCACTGGCAGACGGGGCATGAAGTCCTTGCTGATGTGATGAAAGTGGGTGGGAGAAGAGAGAAAAATGATTCCTAGCTTTTATGTCTGAGCAGCTCAGTGAATGGAAGTGCCACTAACTGACTTGAGCAATTCAGGGACGCTATGGATTGGATAGGGCAATATGGGAGTGGAGGGTGCAAATCAAGAGCCACGTTAACATTATGATGAACTGTGATGTACAGCACATCCAACTGCCTTTCGAGGGAGGCCTCTGGATCCAGGCCAGCTGCAGGACCTCATCCAAGCCACTTACTTCTTGCAGCTTCAGTTTCTTTTTCTATAAATGGTGAGACTAGAACCTTCTTTTAGGGTTGTCTTAAAGAGTGAATAAGACAGCACCTTATGCATGGTAAGCACTTGGGAAAGAGCTTGCAGAGAGGAAAAGTAAATAATCATCATTATCATTATTATTGTGATCATCAGGATTGAGAGAGGGCAAAAGACCTGCTTTACTTTTCCTCTCTGGTTTAGAATGCCAACTTTAGCTGACCACATTTCCGAAACCCGTTAAGGACCCCTTTACATTCAGTTGTATAGCAGTGATGTATATCATCATTTTTCCAGATTTAAGACCGTGAGAAAAGTGGCAGAGAGAAAAAGCAATTGAAGGAAATTGCTCGGTCTGATTGCCCCAGTCATTATGCATCGCTGGCAGCTTTCTGGGATTTTAGCTCTCATATCTGCCACAGAGAAGCAGGCATCCCATTTCAGGGGTCACCTCCAAATCTACTTCCTCCTCTGAGAAAAAAAATCTCATTTGGCACACTTCCCTCACCCTCGTCCCCCCCCCATGAAACAAGGATCCTTACTTGTGATCTATTGTATTTTCCTCTGGGTTTCTAGGATATTTGATCCATATTGGGGGTCACTTTGGAGAACAAATCTTGAGAGAACAGAGGACTTTTTGAAGGAAGACTTTTCACAGTGTGATTGTGCAGTGCAGTGGATAGAGCAGTGAACTGAGGACACCTGTGAGATGGATCTACTTTGATCTTGAATCTACTAGCTGTGCATCTCAGGCCAGATCATTACATCTCTATAATCCTCAGTGTTCACATCTGTAAAATCAAGTGCCTTTCTCACATTGCTATGCAGATTACCTGTGATACTGGTTATGAGATTGCTTCCAAATTTACTACATGCTACACAAACGTGTTGGTATTTTTACTATATAAGTACATTTTAAGTATCTAAAATGCTAGTTTTTCTGCAGGAACTTTTCTCTGTAAAGAAAGCTGAGGAAGAGGTTCTGCTGATAGAAGACTCCGATGAGGAACCTGTATCTCCAGAGCACAGGTGAGAGGCTAATGCTAAAGTAAGTGAGGGAGACCTCGGGCACACCTTCATTAAACAAAACTGAAATGAGAGAAATAGTATCTACAAATATTTTTCCCATTAAAATGAAAAAACAAGCAATTGAATCCAGAAGAGCAATCTACTAGGCTGAATTCCTTTGTCCAGCTAATATAAATATTACTTCTCCAGGTGAATGTAAATACAGATGATTGGCTTCTTATTTTTTTTTAAAGGCAATAGAGCATGCTTAACTGACACAGATATTTACTGACTTTCAAATTAAGACAATGCATTTAAAAGTAGTACTTGATTACTTCTTTTCCTTGAAATACTTTTAAATGGTGGAACAGCAGGTTCACATTGTGGCAACTGCTATTAGGTGTCCCTTTTTTGGTGAATATAATCTGTTTATTTTTTTTTAAGATTTTATTTATTTATTTGACAGAGATCACAAGTAGGCAGAAAGGCAGGCAGATAGAGAGGAGGGGGAAGCAGGCTCCCTGCCAAACAGAGAGCCCGATGCGGGGCTCCATCCCAAGACCCTGAGACCACGACCCAAGCTGAAGGCAGAGGCTTAACCCATTGAGCCACCCAGGTGCCCCTATAATCTGTTTCTTAACATTTGTTAACCGAGTTTTCAGAGAATGGAGGCAGTATTCCATGATTTTGAATGAGAAAAATATAAACGCATTCCTAACCCACAGGAAAATGCCAGTTGAGCAGGTACCACTAAAACCCCTTCTTATACCTATTTAACTATCCACCAAGGATTTCTACAAAATAGAAATTGTTTGTGATACTATCTAGTTATTTAATACTTGACAAATTCATTAGTAGGTATGTCTGTATGCAGAAAACCATAATACTAGACACTGTCCTGTGTTGGGAGTGGATTACATTTTCCTTCTGCATCACAGTGTATATGTATATGTAAATAAATGGGAAAATAATACATTAAAGATGTGTACCACATGCCAATAATACTTAGCAAAATAAAATAAACAAGATAAATTTTCAAGATGTTTCTTATGATTAAAGACATGCTTGTGTGAGGTCTGGTGGTAAGAGGAGGGAGCTGGAGGCGGTGGTCACTGGTGCTATTTGGTGGTTGGGGGTGGTAAGGAAGAAAGAACTGGTGAATAAATGAGTTAAACAGGAAATATCTGATGTTCATCTGTGTCTGGATCTAAGCAATGAGGCGAGAATCTTCTCTTCCTGGCAGGAGAGTTCAGAGGTGTTTGGCTGTGAACCATTGTCTGAAGCTACACACAAAGCAGTGGGATGGAAAACAGAGCTCCCCATGGCAGTCTGTTTGCATTCCATGGGCTTGGTGTCCTGCAACTCTCACTAACATGGGACTCCATTTGTAATTGGGTGAATGTGACAAGTCTGCTCATACCAGGATCACACTCACTTGCACCAGCAAACCTTTTTTTTTTTTTTCAGAATCTCCAATTTCTTGTGAATATTCAGCATTGTATTTGTGGTTTGTAGGTGTTGGGAACAGACACGTGCCTGGCCAAGCCTAAGACTAATAGTCATTCCACTTTCTCAATGTGCGTTATCACTCCTGGTTTTTCTCGGAGTGCACGCATTTCCTTCATTAGTTTCTCTCCTTTATTAGAAGACCTTTTACAGAATAATCTGGGGAAGAGGATATTTATAAAACATAACATGTTTAAAAAACGTGAATTCAAGACACTCTCCTGTCAGGAGAATATCTGAGATGCAATAGCAGCAAACCACATGGGTAATGAATTTTGTATCAGTCAGCAGATCATTGTAGCAAAGATTCAGATAGAGTTCAGAGAGTGAGGAAACCTGTGTTTTACTTTTAAGTAGAGTTTAATTGGGTGAAAAATATTCTGATGCAAAAGCGAACCAGCTACCACATCTATGCCACTGATCTATATAGAATATAAAATGTTTTCTTGAGGCTTCTAATAATGTAAGAAATTATCACTCCAGTGTGGATGAATGCACTCTAGTTTTATATGTTATATACTTCAATAAAATATTACTAAATTTCCTTCAAAAATTATGGAATGGATTATATATCATGTAGACAGTAAGATGGAAAAATAACACTTAGGACAGAGCTGATGGGTCTGATGAAGACATTCTGTTTAATTCCAGCCTCCCTGTCCCTTTCATATCCTTCTCCTCTCCTCCAACACCATGGTCACCACTCTGCTCTCAGCCACCTCAACTCTCACATGACGGATTGTTGGTGGACCAGGCTCATCCACTATATTGATGTCTGTAAGGGAGGAGCTGTCAGTCTTGTCCCTGTCTGGCACAGAGCCTCACGTTGAGTAAGCAGAAAACAAACATCTACTCAGGGACTGACTGATTAATTGATCCTATCAAAATGGTAATCTATTCCATGACGTGAAACCTCTCAAACATAATGCAGTATTGTTATAAATTGGTGCAAACTAGTGTTGCCTTATTTTTGTCAAAGACTTGATCCTTGTCCTCAGGATATTTTTAAATAATAAGAAGGAGAAGAGATGGCATGTCAGGGTCATAGTTTGCAGTCATTGCTATTCTGGCTTCCATTTTATAGACAGAGGGATAGTTAGAAAAGTAATCAGGCACAGAAGTCATAGGGACCATAGGGACCAAAGTGCTTCTGGAATTTTTCTTGGTAATTCTACACGTTCTTTGAAAGGTAAGAAGCATCTTGCTAAGAGGCTTGAAAACTTTGTGCTTATGAAAGAAACACAATGAGGGGAATGTGAGATCTTCAGAAGAAAGAGTCTGTTTCCATGGAAGATATCTTGTCCTTGCATATTTCAGGTTTGAGGCTAAGGAACATTTCATTTCAGGGGAGGGACTCAAGGGTTGGGTTATTTTCCATTAAAACTACATATGCACTGGAGTGGAAGGTCTTGTTTGCTTGGACCACTGAAGATAGAAAGAAGTCATGAGTACTCTAAAGTCAGTGAGGGGCAGACCAAAACTGGAATACTGTGTAGCCCTCTCCTATCTGTGTCCTGCTAGAGTCAGAAGGATGTACCTAACTACTCATTCAGTTTGGCCAGTGGTACGTAGAGGTAAGGCCCAAATTCCCATCATAGCATTGTCTCAGTACAAATGCATTCTGTACTTCAGCCTTCACAATAGGATTTCATGTTTCTTAACTTAGTTATAAACAAATCTATAAGGTAGATTTTAGACCTGTTGGAACACAGTCATAGAGCATATGCAATTTGCCCAAACTCACACAGTTGGTTCCACAGTAGAGCTGGAATTGGGACCCAGATTTTCTTGGGCTCATTCCTGTCAGGACATGAGTTTCAGAAGCTGTGGCTAGTATGGGATTCCAGGGAAAAAACTCAAGGAGTCTTTAAGAAGTCCTTGATTGGGATGTTATTGGGAGAAAATCTTTTTGTTTTCCTTTAATTTCACCTTAAATGTAGAGGAGAGAACAATTAATAGGAGACTACGATGATTAACCCTAACACTGTTGATGAAGATAGCATCTTCTCACCCTTCGATAGAGTAAAGAACACAAGAAAATCAAATGTCAAGCATTTCCAAGGGTTCTAGTAGCTCTTATATTTGCTTGCAGTCTTCAAAAACTGCTATAGTGCTGGAATTGGTCCCTGGGGAGACTCCACTTGTCAGCAGCTACACCAAAAAGAATGTTCCTGCTTAATTCCCCTTTTAGCTTGTGTCAGTGAGGACTTAGTTGACAAAGGTGGGAAGAGAATTTTATTAAGTTGTATGATGATTCTAATAAGCACACTTTTGTTGTATGGAGCCTTGGTACTATTCTATACTGACTTGATTCCTCGTGTCCACCCCATCTTGAGCAGGAAAAGACCCTGCGTATCTTTGTATCACAGGCTGTTAAATTTGGTTTCTCTACTACTAAGGAGCTAGCTTGCCAATCTCATCATTCCAGTCCCAGTGAACCTCAGTCATATTTAGCACCTGCTCTGTGAGAAGTTCTGTTCTAGGCTCTGAGGACACAGCAGTGAACAAAAATCCTTAACTGCCTAGAGTTTACATTCTAGTGGAAGATAAAGACAAAACATAAATCAATAGAACAGAGTAGATAAGATGGTGAGGAGGGCCAAGGGCAAATGTTAAGCAATGAAGAGGGATAGGGAAGGTTGTTGGGGGAGGTTACATTTGATTTAGGTTTTGCCATATGCAGTTGACATTTTTTATCAGTTAAAAAATGGTGCAATGTTGGCAGTTCCCAATGGTGTCATGTAATAGGGTGGCCAGCTCAGCTCTCCACAGAGACCTTTTCACAGCCTCTTAAACCTTTAGTCAAGTTTCCCTGCTCTCCCTGTGCAAGTTACTTGGCTAATTCTACTCTACACTGCCTGCCGTCATCTTTGGCCTATAGTGTGGAGGTCTTGTGGCATAGTACTACTTAAAACAACATAGGATTGGGATTTTTAAACTACAGTATTCAGGTTTTACTTCTCAGCGTGACCATTTACAAGTTGTGTGATTTTGGAGAAGTCTCCTTGACTCTTAAGTTCTTTATCTATAAACAGTAAAGATAATTACTGCAGAAAGTGCATCATAATCCAGTAAGATAAGGAAATGAGAGCTATCTGCTTTGTAAAATACTATATAAAGCCAAGTTATTACCAATTAAGAAGTATTTCCAAAAATAGAGTAATTATAATTTAAATCTATACTAAATCTTTAACTGAGCTATAATGACATTATTAATTGCAAAGGGTTACATGTAAATTTGGCTTATGGTTATGATCTGAAGTCTGTCTCTGGTGATATCTTAAATACTCTTCTTTTTCTATTAATTTAAGGTTGTTCTCTTTTTCTGTTTAAATCCAGCACATTTTAAATTCTTATGAGATCTTTCTATATCCGTTAACACCCAGATTGTTCTCTGCAACGTGTCCACCTCACCTTGCTGTGTCTGTGGGTGGGGCGGGGGGCAGTGGGGGAGAGTTGTGGCCAAGTCTGAACATGACAGAATTCCCAGCTTGGAGGTCATATCCACTTTAATA